GAACCCGAGACCTCAGCACTACCGAGGCAGTCTACACACACATAGTATACTTTATTTGGTATATTTACCAAACAAAGTGTACTCGTATCTAATCATGTTTATTTTATTTAAGAACCTTAAGCACAAGTTTAGCTTCTTTTTGTCTAGATACTGCCTACTACCACTACTGTATTATCAACTTTTGCTGGTACACACATCTACCAGTGGCTGGAAACTAATTAAAAAGCTATTTATAAAGTAATTAATACGTTGCCTGATGCCCTCAAGTTCTCTGGCCTGAGGTTCTTCCAATTTAACAATAATATTATCTGAGTTCCCAGACACAGATCTGAAAAGATATTCACAGTACAACGAAGTATCTATTTTGCAGTCTTTTGCAGTATTGTTTTATAACTTTGTTGATTCGCTTGAGTTTTCTTATTTATCTTTCTTAATAGGGACTACTGAAGAATAAGATCGAGAACAATTTTAACATGTTGTGTATCAAAGTTGGCCTGGATACTTACTAAATTATGAAACATGGAGTTCGTCACATGAGCACTTGGCGACGTCCACATACATTATCTCACGTGGGAGAGCTATGCTTCGGCACAAATGGGCTGGCTCGCCCGGAGTGAACACATGGAAATTTCTGCTACTTTTAAATCATATTCATTTGAAGAAATTATTGGTTTTAGTCACAGCGATTTCACATGTGATTGTGATTTCGTCACAGACCAGTATAAATGGCATTACAATCAATCAAAATTCTTTTTATCAAAGATTAAAGCCTTTTTTTTATTTAGATTTTCTGCGAGTCTTGCGCTAGCTTAATAATAATAATTAAGTAGCAGTGTCTTTGTAAATCAGTCACAGACGTGATAACATGATTTATCACATGTGATTTTATTCCATCAATACCGGAGTGATACAACGGCTTCACAGAAAACCGGTGATAAGTAATTGCTTTTCATCGAGTGAGCGGAAAGCCTTGGAGGCCCCTCTTGCTCCCCTCTTACACTCGTTAACCCTCCCCCCTATTATGGTATAGTGGGGGCCCACCATACCATAAAGCCTAAACAAGCCGAACTACTTCGGAATATAGCAACATGAACAGCTAGCGTAGCCATGCACAGGTAAGAAGCCCCACTGTATGTCGAAGGGACATCACAAAGAGTTCGTGCCCAAAATCATTTAAAATCTTTAAGCGTCTTGCTCGTAAACTCGAAATCTCATTATTACAATGACGGCCTAATTTTAATGCAAGTCACAGAGTCATTTACTTAATAAAGTGTCTTGTTAGTCAAATAAAGGACTTCCTTCATATTTTCAAGGCAGTTGAATTCCTTAATGTTAGGGGAATCTAAGTAATGTGTGTATAATATTTATAGAGTATGGAAGGTATTACTTGTTTTATATTTATATAAAAACTATAAAAAGGCACGCTGTATCAGAAATAAATGCATACATTTAGTGCACCAATTTCAATACCACCTACGTACATATATCCGCTCTATACTTTTGTAAGGATTAATAAAAATACCGACGGAACTGTAAAAGAAAATGTTTTCTACACTATCATTAGTTTTGAAATCTAGTACTGCTATTCTTTAAAATAGTGCACCCAATAGTTATCCAGCTCCCGATTGCTCGAACATTGTGGTAATACTCCAATGCTTTTAACACTCTAGGCATTATTCTTTTACTAGTTTACATTGCTGACTTGGTTCTATAAAAGACATTTTAATCCAGTTGAATGCAAGTAATGAACTACAAACATTGAGAAGAAGCGGTCTCAGAAGTATTCTTAAAAAGTGTTGAGGTACACTTACTATTCTCAAAGAGATGAATATGTTCTTCCATTGTTAAAATATGGGTGGTTTATTTTTGAAAGATAAAAGACACTCGCTTTCGCGTCGCTTTTTTGTGTTGTACATTTAGATCTTTTAAACTAAGCAACGTATTTTAATTATATTTTCACCAATAGAGAGAGTGATTCAAGAGGAAGGTTTATATGTGTAATACATGCATATTTTAGTAGAGGAAATCAGAGAATTTCAAAGATTTGTCGTAAAAACATGTTTTTGTGCGCTTACGTTGCAAACGCTGCCTAAACCTTAAGAAATAGACTAAAATAACGGCTCGTTAGTATATTATAAATGTGAAAGTGAGTTGGTTCGTTTGTTTGTTAAGCTTTTCGCCTAAAAATTCTTTCAAAAATTCGCGACTGAAAGTGATAAAAACTTGTATGACCTGACAATGTAACTATCTAACCCCATATCTATCACATCATCATCACATCGACAGCCTTTAATAGTCCACTGCTGGACATAGGCCCCTCCTTAGAAAGGAGGTTTTGGACTACTATACCACGCTGGCCAGGCTTGGTATTGGGTTTGTGTCAATTTTTTACAGTGCTGTTGTCCTGCGTAGTTTGCTCCCTTAGTCGGCTCTTACGACACCCATGGGATGACTAGGGGTGGTGACACTATGTATTCTTAATCCGTCACCACACGGACAGAGACATATATTATTTGTACCTAGGCTGTATTGTTCTGTAATTCTCGGCCCTTAGAAATGGAATATTTCCTTCAAAATAAAGTGACACTAAGATTATGTACCTACAACAAATTCCATTAAATTAAAAATGATTGAAATTAGTTACAAATATTCATTAGAGCAAGAAAAGTATGTACCTAATGAGAAAATAATAGTTGCTACGTATTTTTTGAAATTAATACCTAAATTAAGTTTTCCTTCCCTTTGCAGTGCTGTTGTCCTGCGTAGTTTGCTCCCTTAGTTGGCTCTTACGAGTCCCAGGGAATGAATAGATCACACTCCGATTCTTAATCCGTCATCATACATATCATTCGTTCATTATTCATACATCTGAATTTGAAACACATCGCCCACTGTAATCTTCTTTATTTCGCTCGTTAACTTATTTTCTGTGTACCAGTCTTTTAGTAAATTTAGCGCACATAGATATAAACAATTTGCTTTATTTAAGTAACGTTAGTCTTTTTTACGTATTAAAACAAGTTAAGAAAACTAACATTGAATAAAACTACTTAAAATTGAGCTTTTTTGCACAAATATCTTGCATTTGAGAGCAGTAGGAAGTATTGATCTCTGTTATAACATGTTATTACATATGTATGCATGTATTTTTATTTCAATTCCCTACAAAATGTTTCGCTTCAATTGGTGCAATTGTTTTTGTTTTCATTAACTATTTCAAGATTGCTCTAAACGTTTTGGTAGGCGTCGTTTTATTGGCATTCCTTTCCTCTACAATTGCTCACCTTCTTCAGCGCCTTGTTCATGTTGGTAGGTAATTAGTGTCAAACACTATCTTCCCTGTAGATGTGTATACGTTTTCGAGACTTTCCATTTTTTTTTTGTTCACATAACATCATACTACTCGTAGTACCGCCTGCAAGATTTCTTATAAATTACTGAGTTTTCATGTGAAACAGCAAACAGATAAGTATATACTATAGCATGTATTATAAATATGTATATAGCAGTATAAAACTTAAATTATTTGTTAAGAAATAACTTGTCCTCACTCATACATTCCCAAACGATTATTGTTTCCAAAACATTCTTAGTTCTTTCTCCAGTAATAGTTCATTAAATTCATAGGCACTTTGTACTACTAAGCGGTATTTTGTTTGCCGTGTTTACAGCTATTAGTGACGTTTACAGGTTCAACCATTATTCTACTAAGTTTTATTCTGAAAAAGTACCCTAGAAAGATTTGCGATTTCTTCCAATTAGAACGATGTTGGAGAAATATGTAAAGTATCCATCTCCTATTAGTCACACTACAATGACTTATGACGATTGTCGCCATAAAAAGAAATATGTTTTACCTCTATTAACTAATATGTGTGTTAGTTTTCTTACAACTGTATTTTTCATGTAAAAAGGTGCAGGAAGTTTATTTCAGATAAGACTCTTGCATTAGGTGAAACTATTCAAAATTTAAATAAAATATATTCTAGCTTAAAAACTGTCTACTTCCTTGATTAAAACTATGTAGATCTAAAGGCACAAATAAGTTAAATCGTAAAATTGCAACACTACCGACGTCGCACTTTTATGATTTCTCTCTTTAGTCTTTTCATTAATTTTATTGTTTCCTGTGTCGGCAGGAAACAATAAAATAAAATGAAGAAAGGCTTCGATATTGAAACTTTTTCCAGACAATTTTTTTTTTCCTTTTTCTCTGTCCCACCGCTTTAAGAAACTTTTATTTCACAGTTAACATTGTTGATTGGATTGGAATAATCATTTAATAAATAGTTATGATAGTTATAATGTCTTTAGAACATTATAACTCAGCCGAATCGTTCTTAAAGACGAGAAAACTCCAGTCGTGCGTCGGAGCTGACACACACACTTTATTTTATTTTATTTTTATTGTAATTCTTTATGCACAAATACGAATTTTCACAGGCATTTTCTCCCAGTCTACCTTAGGGTGGTGCTGAAATGTGTGACTGATATGTATTATTAATTTATTTAAATTAGAAACTAAAGATAAAATATATACTGCAACAACAGATAAGTTCTCATGCATTAGGATTCATAGGAACAAATTATCATTTTAATATGAATGCAATGAATGTTTATACAGGCGCTATATTATCTTTGTAACTTGATATCCGTAGTGTTATCATCACTATAATTCGGCACAACATCGAAGAAGAACGAAAGCGAGGAGATTCGTTAAGTATTTTAGTTCTGTCCAAAGAACTCCTCGATTCATAATTTAAGGTACCATTGAATAATAGGCTTTGTCGTTTTTCTTTATAAGCTCTCTTAAATTTGTACAATACCTCCCATGAAGCCAGCAAAATCTTAGTGTTTTGTTTACAATTATAGCGTTTGGTGATAAAATAAATAAATAAAGAACAAAATATACACTATAGTTTATTAAATTTGATTCTTTACAGCTTCATCCTTATCCGATTTATTTCGTAACATATCTTGTATTTCACCGAAACTTTTACCTTTAGTTTCAGGTATAAAAAACATGATAAACAAACACATTAGTACACAATTTATACTGAATATCCAGTATGTGAGTGCTGCACCTATGGCCGATGTGAAGAAAGCAAAATATTTAGTCGTTAAAAACATAGCAATGGTAGTAGCCATCAGACATATAGACATGCCGATTCCTCGGGATTTGTCGTCGAACAATTCCGCTCCCACCACCCAGAATAGGGAACCTAAGCCTGAAAAAAAAAGAAAAACTTATTATTTGAATACAAAATCTATGATGAAAGAACATATTATATTGTTATACTGTCTCACGTAGACGGGTCTCCTACTGGGGAAAACTACGCAGGACAACAGCACTGCGAAGAGAAGAAAAACTTGACACAAACCCTATACCAACCCACCTGGCCAGCATGGTGTAGTGGGCAAAAACCTCCTTTCTAAGGAGAGGCCTATGTCTAGCAGTGGACAATGAAAGGCTGTTAAAGTCTGATGATGATGAAACGGGTCACCTTTTTTTTTGTATTTTTGGTGACGGGATAAAAAATCTCTTTGGATCCCAGCCAGGAGTATATGGTGTTTCCACTAAAACCACGACGGCGAGCTTTACTTTGGCGCCCCACTCTAGGGAGAACTAGGGGCATGTGATTTCAGGTCCTCCCCAGATCGGCGCCGCACCTAACTAGGTCCTATCTCTGGAAGAGCTAGAGGCTTCCCCCTGCCGTCTCTGCTTATGTCAAATTATTTCCTATACCTAGGTTAAATTCTTCCAAGGTGGAATGGGGAAACCAAGAATCTATTTCATTCGCCCGGGTCCTATCACTCAAGTGAACAGAGTTTGAATAAACCATTTTTAGACTTCCGCCGTGCACTACTAGTGAACTGACATACGTCTTTTCGTTTGAAAAAAGACCAAAATATAGTTATCCATGACTTACAAGTAATAGAGAAGCTACGTGATTAATTTCCGTAAAACTTTGTAAAGAAAGACCTCTATTTAATTTATTGCAAAATCTGTTTAATTGCTTCTGATTTTGATGCTAAGCTTCTTGCTAGAGTTCAGCGGGCCCATGCTATATCATTTTCAATGGATAAAAAAGGAAAAATGTTAGTGATAGGTGATGGGTTTTGTCTTACCTGCACTGAAGCTGTAGACAACCAAAATAAGTGATATGAGAGGAACATAGTTTAAGAAACCGGTCACAGGAACAGTTTCCTTTAATTTGAAGAAAATGCCCAGGCCGAGCTAAAACAAAGCAATAAAATAATTAACAAACAGTAAATAGTGGAAAAGGATTTATATCTTCAGTTTCTAAATATAAATAAGAATTATAAATCGAGACATCTCACACACGGCCATCTGATTCCAAATTAGGCAGTGCATGTGTTATGGAAATCAAACTGCTAAGAAAAATACTTATAAATTAATAAAGAGACATAAGACATCTATAATATCTATTATTATAGATGAATTAAACCCAGACACAGCACCAATGATCGTGCTCATTACATAATAGTTTGTCCTGGGTGGGAATCGAACTAACCACCTCCATTGACTGGCCAGTCAGGATCGTTAACAGGCCAGTCAATCAAATACAGCATATATAACACAAAGTCAAATTACAGTCTACAAAGAGCGCTTGAATTAGTTGTCCGCTAAATGGTCAGCTAGCATAACTGTCCCAACTCAGAATGATTACTAATATGGCATTCATGAACATACATACGTAATCGAAATGCAAGAACTTGAGAATATACATATATTTACAATTGGGTAACTGTTACATACTACTATTTTACTTGACTTGTGCTTATGCCATGGTCTCGTCCGGGATAAAGTTATTTACGCAGATTATGCACTGAACTGGGTGACAGAAGCACATCTACCTCATGGCACTAATAGTTCGTGGGTGAATGAGACTGGATTTTCTCTCCAATCACTGTAGTAGAAAGCCGTGAAGAGTGACTTCCAGGTGTGTGTTTACGTAGCCTAATTAAGAGCCACGCACACTCGTTAAATCAAAGTAACCACGATAATATAGGCAGGCGTTAAGACATGCATGCAATTCATTTTTTTCTGTTTTAGGAGTATTTCAGAACACTGTATGGTTTTTAGATCACGGTGATAGTCACGACCGTAGCCCGTTCATTTGACTTTGCGACACTTGCATTAAGATAAGATTTTTTTTATTGTATGGTAATGTAATGGGACTTAGTATACATACAGCCACTATGTACACTCTGTAAACGAAATACCTAATGGTCAATTCTCGTAATATCGTGATTTCAGTTCTGATCAACTCTCAATCTCACAAATCTCATAAAAAATTCGTAGTGTAGTATGATAATATACTCGTACTCACCGGAATACCACACACAAATGTCAACCTGATCGGGTATTTCGTTTGCTATACGAGTACATCTCTAACTATGTTATGAATGTATATGAGTTATGAATTCATAAAGTTTACAGCTGTTTAAAAATTGCCTAAGTTGTTGTTACTAAGTGATGTTGTTTGTGTTCGCGTTCTCTCTAATGATCTCTGAATATTCTCACGTATTGAAATAAGTGTTCTTTGTGAAAACAATTTCATTGTTTTGTTGGTAGCCGTTACAATATTTTTGGTCATGTCGTTCTTTTTTCCATACACTTCACAAGATTTACAAAAAGGCGATTATCTTTACATTAAATACTTCAAGGAAATCTTTAGAATTAACTACCTGTTATAGTTGTATTGTTAACATAATCGGTAATATTGGTTTTTCAAAAATGTTTCGTTCATGATATCACATTGAAACTCGGATCAAATAAAAAAGTTAAGATTTAAATGACGACTGTTTTATAAGCATGTGTGCGTGGGCCGGTGCCGCCATCATTATTTTATTTTATTTAAAATATTGGTTTCATCGCTTACTTATGTATTGAATGCGTTTTCAATTTGGCATCGGCATATTTACTTGTAAATATTGTGATGTCATTTTGACTGACAAGACGTAGTTTCGTTGTACGTGTATGCGTGTAATTATGTAGGCGTACTTTTAACAGACCTTGCTTCTTTGTTCACAGAGTACCATCTAAACTTTTTTATTTGATCTGAGCATTCAAAGTAGATAAAGTAGATCCTGAAACTCTTAGCGGCGTTGACGCTTTTTCATCAAATGTATGAAACTATTTATGGTACAGGGGTCAAACGAGTAGCCGGGTCATCTGGTGATAAGCGACTACAGCCGCCCATTTACACTTGCAACTTAAAAGAAAAGTCCATGGCCACCCTTTGAGTGCCTCCCTAGAATTAGAGAACCGGTAGTTGAGCCTCCTATAACCTTTTATAACTCGCTCGGTGAGATTCAACGAAAGAATTGTTTAAAACCGGTATATGTATATATTCGTCACAATATATGTATATAATAGCAAAAAAAAGCCGTTTATTGATAAGATGCTCTGACATTTGTTACTTTTATTTTATTTGTTTAGGTCACAGCTGACAGTAAGTACATATAGAAAATTTACAGAGTATTACGCCAATTACGAAGTACACAATATGACAGTTAGAATAAGTAAACAAAAGTGAACCCGTATTCATTAGTGCCTTCATGCATGCATCATATGTGCCACGATGTCTATGTGTGATCGTGTGTGTGTAGGGTGCGTGTCTGCTTGTTTGTGAGAGTGTGTGTGTGTGTATTTATGTTACTAACTATATTTATATTGTAGGAGTTTTTTGCCTTAGAAACTAACAAAACTTTTGAGAAAAAATAGAAGAAGAATGAATTACCATTAAATAGTTATCCTTACCATTCCAAGAGCCATTCCAAAACCAGTTACCGTTAAAATAGGTTTTCTTCCAAATTTATCTGTCATAAATGTCGTTCCAAAACTCGCAACTAGCTGAATGACTCCAATAATGACTGAAGCAAATTCTGGTTTGACTGACGTTTGAGTAGACTCCAATACAGTTTGTAAATAAAATGAGACAGCATTAAACCCAGCAAATTGACATCCTATGCTGAATATGACGACTAAAATTAGTGATTTTTGGAATAACTTGTTTGCAAAAATATCTCTTTTGTTAATTTTTGCGTCCTTTCCATCGACTGCTTCGTACTCTTTTAATTCTTCGTGTGCCAAAGCTTCAGAGCCTCTACAGAAAGTGAGGACCTTTAAAGCTTCTGCTGTTCTACCTGAAATATAAATATAATTATTTCGGTACCTTCTAACATCACCAAGAATTACCGTCTTACATCTAAAGCCTGCAAGATTCCACTCCAAATGAGTAAGACTACCAATCCAAATGTTAATTTTGCCAATGTCAATTCCATTGCACTTTGTGATATCGGTCTCCACTGTTGTCAGTGCGCCATGTACAGCGTAGTTATGTATGTTTTGAAACAACATTTAAATAAGAAACTTTAATTAAACTTGAAGATTAGGATTAGAATTGTATACATTTCATAAATACAATATCTATTTGTTAATCAGTGTCTCTGTTTGTAACAATTATGTGCTTCCCTCATTTTTTCAATACAATACTTTGAGATAACATCAAAATTAAATTAACACGATTTTTATCTATATATATTATGTACGTCAATTCAAGGTATTTAAAATGTATCTACTCGTATATCTTTATTAAATATGTAATAATTTAATAATACCTCATAGTTTCACACGGGTTTGAGTCACATTGTGTATGACCCATTGTGTTTAGCTTTATAAATAAATGTCTTGATTTATTCTTTTTTAAAGACTAATAACAACGTGGACCACACGCGTCTAATATTTTTAGCTACTTCTAAAAGAACACGAGGTTCTCAATAGAACTGATTACTTTTATCTTTTTCAGTTTAAATGATTGGGTTGATAATGGTTTGGTCCTATTCAAATTTAAAGTAAGTATGCCACCTCAAAGATAAAGAATGCAGCTTTTTAACAATTCATTATAATTTCATAGACAACAAGACGTGACAATTCAAAAAAGGAGTGTGATGTTTTAAAGCTCCATCATGCTGCAACCCGCTTCAGAAAAACTGTTTTTGACGTGACAACGTCTTATAAATTGGTTTGCCGGGTGACACTTCAAGAAACTGCGTTACGCTCCGCTCACGTTATGCGCTCCGCTTCCACTCGGGCATGGTTAGCCCGCCTAAGAGCGAGAGAGACAGACATAAAAAGTGAAAGGCGACATAAAATTTTGTTAATATGAAATTCAGTGCGAGATTCTTTGTATAAATTAATGTTTTAAATATAATTCTTTGTATAAATAAATGTTTTAAATTGTTACTATTATTTCATCCTTCTTCCTACTATACGAATGAATATTCACATTAAAATTATTTTACCACTCAAAGTCGTTGTCACGTAAAACTTTCGCCCGTATACCGACTTTACAGGCAACCAATTTTTTTTTTCTTTTATTTACAAACGATGCTTTTGAATGTACTATTTTTTTTTGTGATATCAATAATAACGCGGATAAATTATGCACAAAGCACTAAATATAAAAAATAATTCAAAAAAAGTTTTAAAAGAAGTGCAATTTTTTTTGTAGTTTAATGTAGTAACATAATAGAAATATTGCGCGACTTCATTTCAGAAATCTCTAATGAGCCGAACAAAGAATATATCTACTCTCTTACGAGAGGAGCCGAAGAATGAGCTTTTTGAAATAAAGTCGCGCAATATTTTAAATTAGAATAAATATAAAAAAGAATTTAAAAAAGTTTTGAAATAATCGCTGTGTATTTTTTTTTTTCAAAATTACGTTATTTTGAAGTTTAAATTAGGTTTCTCAAGTAAAGTCGGGCAATATTTTTTTTGTAACTACATTAAGCTACAAATAATTTGGCGCTTATTTCAAAACTTTTTAGAATTATTTTTATATATTGTCCACCTATCACGTTTCATGAGCTACCGCCTGGTGACAGACGGACAGACTGATGGACGAACAGCGGAGTGTTAGTAATAGCTTTAACCTTTGGGTACGGAACCCTAAAAAATAGCAATTGACCGCGGCTACGCTCGCGTGATTATTTCCTTTTACGTATTACTAACTTTAAAAATAATCCATTTCATCATCAGCACGAAGTTTATCCTTGGAACCTGTCGTCTCTTATTTTACCCCCTTAGTCACTTAGCCCTTATGTCACCCAAATTTGCAAAAATCCTTTCTAAGTGGGTGCTTACAAAATAAAAAACAACAGCTGCCAAAATTTCAAATTTGTAACCCTACTAGTGGTTTAGGCTCTGCGTTGATGAATCCGTCGGTCAGTCATAGCAAGTAATTCTATATATAGATAATAATAGACGGGTATATTTCTACCCTCTTATACCTTAATTACTAAAAATTACTTATAATAATTATATAAAGATATAGATAAAGAAATATATATAAAAGGGTCTTACCTTTTGAATAGAGAAAATAGGGGCTATCAGGTAGTATAAACAGAGGTATCGTAGTTAATAAATTTATACAGGTATAAGTAATATTCAAATTTATATAGGATATAAAAGGGCCTAAGCTTAACATAATTACGACCCCAAAGGAACACATTATTTGAAGGATTGTACCAAGTCCTCCACGAATATCTTTCTGAAAAAAAAAAAAACAAAATAAATTTGCTTTATTCCTTTGCTATTTATATTATACAACCACTGTGAAAATCTTCATATTTCTGGGCTCTGTAGGAAGAATTAAAAAGAGATTGCTGAGTTTTGGCTGTTTTTTTTTTTAAACTAGCCACTTGACTTACACCAACCTAGTTAAGGAATGTAATCATTTCCAGACAGGAAAAACAAAGAATATATTATGGGGAAATGTAAGGGATATAGATAACTTTAAAATATCATATGTTAAACTAACTGTTCCCAAACCATATCTGAATTACTAAGTATTTTTGAAGTGAAAATTCTTCAGCACCTTCGTGATTTGAAAATTTTGTGATTTGAAATGTGATCTATATGTGATGTGAATAATGTGGTACCTATGATCCTGATTCCAAACAACAACCTATATTCCACAAATAAAGTATTATGAATTATCTACAATCTGGGTCTTTCAAGACGAGCCAAAGCCGACTAAAGTTGTTCGTTCTCGAAGCACTTCAAAGAAGATGGGGGCCACGTTCGTTGGAAAAAACGGCCATGTTGCGACTATTGCACTTGAAGATCGTAGAACGGTTAACACAGAGTGGTATACCACATTTTGTTTACCACAAGTCATCGCCGAACTTCGAAAATCTAACTCAAAGCGACGCATCATCCTGCACCACGACAAGGCAAGCTCACACAGCGGTGGTCAAACGATTGAGTATTTGAAGCAGGAAAAAGTAGAAATTCTTGACCATCCTTCATACAGTCCTGACCTAAGCCCTAACGATTTCTTTACATTCCCTAAAATTAAGAAAAGTCTTCGTGGTCAAAGGTTCCAGTCCGGTGAAGAAGTTTCAAGTCAGCCATTTTGAACACCCCAACTTTAGAATGGAATAAATGTTATAACAATTGGTTTGAGCGGATGGAAAAGTGTATTTAGGTACGTGGTGAATACTTTGAAAAACAATAAAAAGTACTAAAAGGTTCTAGTTGTGTTTTTTTCTTCAAAAGACAAAATTTAAAAGGTATGCCTCGTATGCCTTAGAAGACTACTTACATCATAAGATAGATACATAAGAACAAAGACATTTCGTATCGAATCCCGATCATAAACATTATCACTAAACAAATTGTCGTGAGAACTAAGAATTTAAGAGCCAAGATTGACGAATTCAATACATTTACAAGATTATCACCTTAAAAACTACCGGAAAAAAAATATGTACTTACACTAGCAATTTCCGAAGCATACATCGGAACTAAAGTAAATATCGCGGAATCAGATATGCCCACCAGTGCTCTGCCGAGTAGCACCAACCATACCTCAGTGGCAAATATGAAGATAAACCCTGCCACTAACTTCGGCAGGCATGCCAGAATTAACCCATATTTTCTTCCTACTATGTCCACGAGAAAAGCTATCAAGAAGTTTGCTGAAAAAGAAAAAAATGTATTTAACTGTAGTGTGGTATAAGAAGGTAAAATAAAGAAATGGACTTGATTGTTTGGTAGGGTGGTCGAACAGTTTTCGGTTATTTCTGAGGGTATATTTGTGAATAAACAAATGTGTAAGTCAGTTTACATTGGTTGAGTGTCAGGGCAAATCGTAAGTGTGGTAATTAAAGTTTCAGAAACCATAGTACATTTTTTTTTTTGACTTCAAAAAATGATTAGATTGTCAATTTGGTAGTTTTCATTTAGGTTTTAGAGTCTCGTTATGTAGGAACTGATTTGCAAAATTTCCTTTTTATTTTGCGAGGGTATATTACCCGTTTGGTCCAATTCAAATATGAAGTAAATATACATTTTCGTTAAAAAAATATATTTTTTTATTTTACAATAGGTACAGATTTTTCACAGAACTATTTCTTATATTAATTATCTTGTTTTTTTTATGGTATAAGGGGGCAAACGAGCAGACATGTCACCTGATGGTAAGCAACTACCGCCGCCCAGGTACACCTGCAACTCAACAGTCACAAGTGCGGTGCCGTCCTTGGAGTCCCTCCCGCTCGAGTCAGCGGGAGGGGGGATTTGAGCTCCGGTCACCACACTCACTCAGTGAAAGGCAACGAAAGAATTGCTTAACACCAGTTTTCTGTGAGGCCGTGGTATCACTCCGCTCGAGCCGGTCCATTCGTGCCGAAGCATGGCTCTCCCATGACTGTCACAAGCACCGTTAACAATGTAATACCTACTACCGTTTTACCGATTCATAAGAAAGTTTTAACTACATATTATCTGTACGATATATGTATACTGTGCGACTGGTGGCTGCACAAAATATATTCATACTTAATGTAAACCACTATTCTAAACTAAGACACACTACATTAAAAAAAAGTTTATATACTTGTTAACAAAGTAATTTATTAAAACTAACCTGTTCTTCTAATTGACTATTAATGCTATTTTGACGTGGTAACGTAGTAAAACGTGACGTACATGCTATTCCTGATATGCTTCCTATAGACACGATCCATGATCCTTCCTCTTCAGTGATGGGTCTTGAGAGAACCGGCTGTGTACTATTGTTCAGCTTCACCAGGACTGGAGAAGGCCACACTACGCCAGTACCGGTGGCTAACACGCAGAGGTTTACTGCAATAAGGATTATAAACTTAAGTCCAATGTTTTTCACGGTTTAGCTTTCTGTCGTATCATTGGTAAATCAAAGGGTGACTGACAATGGTCTTGTGACTTTTGGTCTATTAGGTGACCCGTGGTACTCGTACTATAAAAATATATTTTATTACAGAAAATAGTTTGCAGTGATCAGTTTTTATTGAATCCTTATAATTTTATTTTAAAAGTCTCTCACATTCGAAGAACACTAAAGCAGTCTGAAAGAGTGTAATGATACTTTTAAATATAACTAGTTAAGCTGCGCAACTTTATCTGCCTCTTCAAAGGTAAAAAACCGTTTTTGCAACATTTTTTATTGATGCTTGACTTCTATTATATCTATTAATGTTATTTAGCCTTCCTCGACAAATGGGCAAGCCGATACTAAAAGATTTTTCAATTCGAACCACTTATTCCTGAAATTATCGCGTTGAACCAAACAAAAAATTTAAGCTTTATAATATTAGTATCTTAGATCAGTGATATTTTAAAGAAGATACGTTATATTCATACTGCACGCACTAAATATTTGTTCGGTAGCCGTAGGTACATACATCTATTAATGCATTTTAGAACAAAACATACACTTATCTGTGGTATGATATTCCTTTATATTTATGAATTTTCTCGAATTAATTAGTACGTGCGTTCGCTTGCAGTGGTCCTAATTATGACCCTTTAGTGTGTTGGTGGCGTATCTACCTCTTGTATGTATATAATATCATTGGTATAGTTACCTATATCATTGGTCCAGTGAATGGCAACCACGGGGATTACGCAAGGAACTATACAAATTAAAATTCCACTTCAATATTACATAGAGTTGGCTGTTACTTAACTTCGCCTACGTAAGAGTTATTAATAGAAATGCCATGGCATCTTTCTCTATCTACATATATATATGTATATACACCTTGAAATTGTAGTGGCCGTCCAAGTTTTTTTAGGCATTAGACATTATTTAAGGACCCTATTTTTGCAAAAAAAAAATGGTAGGTAAAATTTTCAACATAAAATATTTTATCAGGAAGAAAATATTTAGCAGCGGGGTCACTAATTCAAACGTACAAAATAGTCTTCTGCGTGTGCGTTACCCCAGCAAAATAATGTCGAAAATGGTCATTTAAACTTTATAGATAATTAGTTGCTCCCCTTCTGTAATTGTTAAGCACATTTTTAAATTTGTTTCACTTAAACTTTTTTAGTTATTTCAAAAAAACATTTCCTGCTGGGGTAACGTTTGAAACGTTACCGCAGCCAGACATTTTCTTTTTTAATTGTAATATTGAAATAAATTTTAGCTAAATAATTAGTTATCTGGACTAGGTAAATGTTACAACTTATTTGGTATTTGTATTTTCTTCGGCTGCGAAGTTATTCGAAATCCTGCTGGAGTAACGTTTGTGGGTTTGCTGGATCTCTGAAACGGGTAGGCGGATTGTAACCATCTTTTGTACATAACTTCTTAAGGATTAGTTTTAATTTGTTCGACAATAAAATAACAAAAATAATGGACCGTTTAAAAATTATTTAGGTAAGTATGAAAACACTTCAATACGTCCTAACACTTTAAATAAGACCTCTAAAGACTTACTTGAAACGTTATTCTATTGCTTGTAACTACCTTCAAATGTATACGAATTTTCGTAAGAATATTGTAAGGGACTAAAAAGTTATGATGAAATGTAGCTCTCCACGTTCACGATCACAATGTGTGCGGCCTTTTTTGGCCACCGATAAACCTGTGTGTGGATATATAAACTGAATGTTATGCCAATAATTAGTTGTTTAGTTCAGTTGTCTACCTGTAAAATTTCAGCGTCGTACATATAATAATTTACGAGATAATTAAATAAAAGTCATTAGAAGGTGCAAGTCCGTGGTAATCCGACCATGTTTAGGTGGTTACAAAAAAGCGATCACCCAGTACATTGCGCTGTCTTTTAAAATGTTTAGTGTAATACACCTTACGATTTCGGTACAGTTGCGTACAGTGTTAAATACATTCAATATTTATTCATTATTATTACCTATTATTTATTTTGTTTTTTTCCCTAATTGATCTTAAGCACTAGTTTCTTTACTTAAAATTTCTTTAGTCTTTTTTACTACCGGAGCTACAATCAACAGAAAATCTGCACTGGTCCGCTAAAATTATAAATATGTAGATACATGTATGAACGATTCACCTGACTGCAATAAAACGAAAATTTAAACCAATAAGTCGAAATCGTTTCATTTCTTTGATTTTTTTTGTAAAGAAATAACACTAAAGTAATTGTATTTTATTTTGGGGTGTATAGAGCTTGGACTTGAATGCATCAAAATATTTAAAGCAACAAGTCATCTACAATAAGTTAAAATAGACCGAATAGTAGAAGAATACAGTTGTAAATTAGAATGCATCAACATTGCATCGCCCAATAGTCGTATACCTCGTAAGAGTAGGTAATATTGTTCTGTGGTCTATACCTAGAACCGAAAATTATCTATACCTATGTACCTACCGTTAAGCGTTGAGCCCGTGACTGTTGATTTCTGTTAAAAACGAACAGTTGTTGAATGATATTTTGATATAATAACGGTAATTTAATTTATCGAGTGAAAGTGATAAATTTTTATAGATAAAATTATTGGTCAGATAATATTTGTCAATCAAGAATCGCTGATAATACATCCTTCGCTAGAACGCGGGAGGGGAGGGGCGAAGGGATACTTCATTGTTTGCAATTTGCATCTAGTGCACTAAACTTGACCCTTAGGCAGATAATATACGTGTTGTAAAGTACGTGTGCGCTTCCGCTTTCTATTTTTGCAAATATTTATCGTATTCTTGAGAGTTCTTCAATATGTGTGTACCTAATTACTAATAATAGGCATTAATGCTAATTCGATTCATTTTAAGTAATTGTCAATTCTTGTCTTAGGATATTAATGCTAATATTGAAATTTCGTTCAGGGTGAACAAATTAAAAACGATCATAACTTGTAGGTAGGTATATCACTTATTACTAATTTTACATAAATAATTTATTTTATTATAATTTAACTCACCGCGATTTTGTGATCAAATATTTTATTTTCTCCAACATTATTACAGAAATAATGCAATACAGAGTTTACACTTAAAAAAATCCCCATCTATTCAGAAAATACCTATTTACAACGCATACGTTACACTCTTCAAAACTTATCATTTCATTTCATATTTCTTAAATTACCTATACCTACCCTAAAATTAAACTTCAATTAACAAATACTACGCAGGTACCAATTCTATGAACAACTATAAACAATTCACCTAAACATTACGAGAAAACAAAAGCATTCAAAACAATACCTAATCTTCCGGCTGATTACTAATTATGCAATAAACAATCCTAAATAAAAATTATTTAAAAAACATGTAGTTTTTTGTAACACTTATGTACATATCCGTAGTAAACTTGCAAATAATATCCTACATATTTTAAAAGCCAGCACAATGTACTGGGTGATCGCTTTTTTGTAACCACCTAAACATGGTCGGGTTACCACGGTCTTGCACCTTCTAATGACTTTTATTTAATTATCTCGTAAATTATTATATGTACTACGCTGAAATTTTACAGGTAGACAACTGAACTAAACAACTAATTATTGACATAACATTCAGTTTATATATCCACACACAGGTTTATCGGTGGCCAAAAAAGGCCGCACACATTGTGATCGTGAACGTGGAGAGCTACATTTCATCATAACTTTTTAGTCACTTACAGTATTCTTACGAAAATTCGTATACATTTGAAGGTAGTAACAAGCAATACAATAACGTTTCAAGTAAGTCTTTAGAGGTCTTATTTAAAGTGTTAGGACGTATTGAAGTGTTTTCATACTTACCTAAATAATTTTTAAACGGTCCATTATTTTTGTTATTTTATTGTCGAACAAATTAAAACTAATCCTTAAGAAGTTATGTACAAAAGATGGTTACAATCCGCTTACCCGTTTCAGAGATCCAGCAAACCCACAAACGTTACTCCAGCAGGATTTCGAATAACTTCACAGCCGAAGAAAATACAAATACCAAATAAGTTGTAACATTTACCTAGTCCAGATAACTAATTATTAAGCTAAAATTTATTTCAATATTACAATTAAAAAAGAAAATGTCTGGCTGCGGTAACGTTTCAAACGTTACCCCAGCAGGAAATGTTTTTTTGAAATAACTAAAAAAGTTTAAGTGAAACAAATTTAAAAATGTGCTTAACAATTACAGAAGGGGAGCAACTAATTATCTATAACGTTTAAATGACCATTTTCGACATTATTTTGCTGGGGTAACGCACACGTCTTCTGCTAGTTACGTAAGCAGTGAGAGAAAGAATGCATCGGGGGACGCGGTGTGGCGGGGTAAGGCGTGTGCGAAACCCGGCCGCCCCGGCAGGTACAAAGCAAACAATTAAATAATTATTAGGTCAGTCGGCCTGAGTCGGCCGCGTCTTGTTGCGTCGGTGCATCCTTTGTGTTTACCGCTCGTTCTTCCGTGACGTCAACAGTGCAAATCATCATCATATAACATATAGTATACTGCTAGACATAGGCCTCTGCTTAGACAGGAGGTTTTGGCCTTCTATACCACGCCGGCCAGACGGGTTGGTATACGGTTTGGTTTGGTTGCAGTGCAAATAATGGTTTCTAATTTCGAGTATTACGAATTGGTGCGTTGTTACATTCGTAATGTCTAAGTAAGACGTCAACAAGGTTTTTTTTTTTTTATTATAGAGGGGGCAAACAAGCATACCTGTCCTGATGAAAAGTAACTACCGCCGCCCATGAACGCCTGCAACACAAGAGTCACAAGCAAGTTGCCGGTCTTTGAAGGAAGGAGTACACTCTTTTCTTGTATCTGGCCGGAACTACTGCAGTCCATAATTTGTTCCATAATAAGTTAATTTTATTATATAAAAATACAAAAAGCAACTGCGCGATAA